GAGGCCCCGCCTGAGCGAGGATGGTATCCGAAAACCATAGTATTTGCATGGTTTCGTGCCCCTCCCACCCCTGCAGGGAGGCCCCGCCTGAGCGAGGAGGGTATCGGAAAACCATACTATTTACATGGTTTCGTGCCCCTCCCACCCCTCCAGGGAGGCCCAGCCTGAGCGAGGAGGGTATCGGAAAACCATACTATTTACATGGTTTAGTGCCCCTCCCACCCCTCCAGTGAGGCCCCGCCTGAGCGAGGAGGGTATCGGAATACCATACTATTTACCTGGTTTCGTGCCCCTCCCACCCCTCCAGGGAGGCCCCGCCTGAGCGAGGAGGGTATCGGAATACCATACTATTTACATGGTTTCGTGCCCCTCCCACCCCTCCAGGGAGGCCCCGCCTGAGCGAGGAGGGTATCGGAACACCATACTATTTACCTGGTGTCGTGCCCCTCCCACCCCTGCAGGGAGGCCCAGCCTGAGCGAGGAGGGTATCGGAAAACCATACTATTTACATGGTTTCGTGCCCCTCCCACCCTTCCAGGGAGGCCCCGCCTGAGCGAGGAGGGTATCCGAAAACCAAACTATTTACATGGTTTCGTGCCCCTCCCACACCTCCAGGGAGGCCCCGCCTGAGCGAGGAGGGTATCCGAAAACCATACTATTTACATGGTTTCGTGCCCCTCCCACACCTCGTCTAGCGAGCTCGTGTCGCCCACCCTCTTGTATAACCTCGACTGGACGAGGGAAATGAGACCACTCAGACCAACCTCACGAATCGGACCTCGCGAGGAAAATGAGACCACTCAAACCAACCTCCCGCTGCTGCTCCTGCTGCGGTTCCTGCTGCTGCTCTTCGCCATCATCCATCTTATCCTCTTCCTCCTCCTCCTCCTCCTCCTCCTCCTCCTCCTCCTTCTCCTCCTTCTCCTCTTCCTGGAGGGTATCGGAAAACATGCTGTTTACACGGTTTCGTGTCCCCCCTCCACTCCTCCAGAGAGGCCGCGCTTGAACAAGGAGGGTCGCGGAAAGCATTACTCTTCGCCAGGTTTCGTAGCCCTCCCCCCTTCCAGCGGGGCCCCGCCAAAGCGAGGAGGGCATCAAGAAAATGGGTCCCACGAAACCGTTAATCTCTTTATGTGGGGAACTCCGTTAGCATAATTTATAAAGAAAACGCAACAAAAAAAACACACAAAAAACGTCCCCATACGATGTTCTTTACTATCTTTGGATACTCCTCCTGTAGAGGGACAGGCCCGACGTAACACTGGCCACGCAGAGCACTGTACAACACGCATCGGCTGTGCCCGAAGAGGAGGCGGCCCTCGGCCCCCCCAGTGACGCGGGGTCGACGCCGCCAGCCGAGGCGGCGCGCGTCGCACCCGCCTGGTGCTCGCTCGGGCGCATCCCCCCCAGCCAGGCGGATTTTGGACGAAGCATGAGAGATACCCCCAAAAAATACTCAAGAATGGCCAAACCATACTCCAGAATCGTCCCCCGACTATATTTGGCCTCCTTCAGAATACTCCTGCTGTGGAGGGACAGGCCCGACTTGAGCCTCAATGAGAAATACCCCCAAAAATATGAAAGAATAGCAAAAAAAAAACAGAACACTCAACGAATCGTCCCCGGACAATATTAGGACTACTTCGGGAATATTCCTGCTGTGGAGGCTTGAGCCTGTTTCCCACCTCCACCACCATAAGTTGGAGGGGGAAGGAGAAGGAGGAGGAGAAGGAGGAGGACGAAGAGGAGGAGGAAGAGGAAGAGGAGGAGGAGGAGGAGGAGGAGGAGGAGGAGGAGGAGAACCCCCCCTCCAACTTATGGTAGTGGTGGTGGAAAACACGCCCATCAGTGGAGGCTCGAGCCTGGCTCTCCTCCTCTCGGGGCGTGGGGCCGGAGCGGGGCCCGGCCTCCCCGCCGCCTCCCCGCCGCCGCCGTCCTCCTCGCCCCCGCCCTCCTCCGCCACGCCTTCGGCAGCGGACACCGCGGGAGACTCCCCATGGGGGGGATCCCACGGGGGGATGGGATCCCAGGGGGGGGGGATCCCATAGGATCCCCTGGGGATCCCATGTGGGGGGCAGGAGGGGATCCCATGGAGATCCCATGTGGGGGGCATGGAGAGTCTCCCGAACACCGCGTCTTCGCACGCCCAGATTTTTCTCGTTGCGTCGGGCATGTCCCCCTACAGGCGGATCTTCTTACAAGAAAATCAAAGAAGTAGTAAAACAAACCAAAAATCCTCACAACTTATGAGAAGTGATCGAAAAACCGTCCCCTGACTATTTTTTTACTATTTTTGAATCCCCCTCCTGTAGAGGACACGCCCGACTTGCATTCATCGGCGCCGAAGGGCCCCCCCCTTACCAGCCTCGAACGTATCCCTATCCCTAAGATTGCCACGCCCAAAGGCGATGACAATCTTAGGGATTCGCCCTCAAAAAAAAGGGAATCCCTAAGATTGGCATCGTGATGAGGAGGTGCCCAGCATAGGGATAGGGATATGTTCCAGGCTGGTAACCCCAGGCGAAGGCCCCAAAGCGGCAGCGCGGGCGGCAGCGCGAGGCGGGCGGGCGCCGCCGCCGCCGCCGCGGGCGCCGCCGCCCCGGGAGGCGCCGCCGCCTCCGGGCGCCCGCGCGGCGGCGGGCGAGTCTGAGACCGACCTCCCTGTGGATTCCCGGATTATTTCCCGACGCACAGCAATAGAAGGAGAACAAGCAACACGAACAGAAGTAAACTGTTGGCGCTCCGCGCAGATTCCCTGGATCCGCGCGGGGCACCTCTCCCCGGCGCGCGGAGCGCGCCAGGGGCGGCGCGGGCCCCAGCGCGGATCTGAGACAGCCGCGCGGAGCGCCACACGCTCGTGATTATCGCCCTTTTCCTTCTGCGCGGGGCCCCAGCGCGGATCCGAGACATCCGCGCGGAGCGCCACACGCTTGTGTGTGCTATCGCCCGTGTGCTGCTCCGATGTTCCCGAAGCACGGCGAGCGAGGACTTTCCTGACCCTCCGGGCTGCGCATCCCCGGGGCACGAGGCGGGGCGAGGGGCGGCCCGCGGCCGGCCGAGGTCGCCACGGGGGGCCGCGGGCCGGCGCGCCGCGGGCGCGCACGAAGGGCGCGTCGGCCGAGATGCGCGCGGCAAGGGGGTCGGGGGCTCGGCTCGGCCGGCGGCCGGGCTGAAGGCTGGAGCTCGAGGGCTCTCGGGCGCCGCTCGAGCAGGAGATCGCCGAGCTTAAGATCCGAGTTGCGCCAGCGCTGGTTTGCCCGTCGAGGCTTCGGGGAGAAGACGTACAGGATTCGGAGATCTGCGAAAGTGAGCCGTTGTCTGTGGCAGACTCGAGGAGAAAAACCCTGGGGTAAACCGATCGTGTGGTCGATCTCCGGCTCGATCGATTCGTCGGTTCTGACAAGCCTTCCAGCCGCCTCGGGGTGCGCTTCGCTCCAGCAACTGCGCCGCGCCCAAAAGGAGGCCAGGGCCAAAATCGAGAATCCCTGGGATCCGGCGGCTCCGGGAACTGTCTCGGGCGACGCGGCCTTCTCAGAGCCTTCCGTATCGCCCTGGAACGGATGGATCCTCGTCCCAGCCCTGTCCGCCCCTGGCTCCAGCAACTGTGCCTCGCCAAACCCACATGGTTCGGGGGAGGTGCCCTTCCCCAAAAAGCGGCTGGTGCCGCCTCGCTCGGCGGCCGACATCCGCGATCTCCCATGGAGACGGTGCCCGTAACTGATCCACGCCCCCGTGACCCATGCTTGCGATCGCCTGGATCTGGGAGGCCTCTGTCGAAGCTCCATCGCCGCCCTCGCGTCTCGGCGGTGGCGGCGCCCGCGGCCCTCGCAGCGGCGCCGCGCCCCGAGGGGGGGGGGGCGGGCCGGAGGGGGGCGGGCCGCCTCGGCGGGCGGCGGGGCCTTCCCAAAGCCACCCCCCCGGGCCTCCCGGAGAGAGGCCCGCTCCCGCAGAGGGGGCCCGAGGAGCTCCCCGGGAGGCCGAAGAGCTTGCCCTCCTCTGCCCTGGCCCCTCTGCCCTTGCCCCCCTCTGCCCTTGCCCCCTCTGCCCTTGGCCCCCCTCAGCCCTTGCCCCCCTCAGCCCTTGCCCCCCCTGGGCGCGCCGCCGAGCGAGCGCCGATCCGAGCCTGGAGCCTGGAGCCTGGAGCCTGGAGCCTGGAGCCTCGCTCCTCGGGCCTCGCTCCTCGGGCCTCGACGCCTCGATGCCTCGATGCCTCGACGCCCTAGTCTCGATGCCTCCATCCTCGCTCCTCGATGCCATGATGCCTCGATGCCTCGATGCCTCCATCCTCGAGCCGATGCGCCGTTTGCTGGCGTGAGCACGCCCGCGCGGCGGGCTCTGCGGGAGGCCCGCCGTGCAGCCCGAACGCGGCGGCCCCGCCGCGGTCGGCGGCGCCGGGCGTGCCCCTGGCGCGGGCGCACGCCCCCCGGGGGCGCTCGCGTGCACGCCGCCGCCCCCGGCGCCTCCTCCGTCTCCGCCCCCTGCGCCTCCTCCTGAGCAGCACCACCACCATCAGGATCGTGGTCATGAGCACGATGACGATGACGATGACGATGACGATGACGATGACGATGCTGATGACGATGATGATGATGATCTTGATGATGATGATGATGATGATGATGATGATGATGATGATGATGATGATGATGATGATGATGATGATGATGATGATGATGATGGTGGTGGTGGTGGTGGTGGTGGTGGTGGTGGTGTTGCTGCTGATGATGCTGATGATGATGGTTGTGGTGATGAGAATGATTGATGAGGAGGACGACGACGATGACGATGATGATGGTGATGGTGGTTATCATCATTGTCATCACCACAACCATAGTCATCCTCCTGCTCCTCCAACTCAGCATTATCATCAGCAGCAGCACAGGATATCATCCATCATCGACCCACCATCAGCATCAACAACAACATCATCAGCATCAACTGATTGATCATCATCATTACCATCATTATACTAATCATCATCATACTCATCATCACCCCCCCACCGTCATCATCATCATCATCATCATCATCATCATCATCATCAGCATCAACATCAGATTCATCAGCATCATAATTAACAGCATCAACAATATCATAATCGCCATCAGCATCATCATCAGCATAATCATCTTCATCATCATCAGCAGTATCACCCTCATCATTGCCACCATGAGCAGCATCAGCATCAGTAGCACCAGCAGCATCATCACAATCACAATCACCATCAGCATCACCATCACCATCAACACCACCATCATCACCATCACCATCACCACCACCACCACCATCCACCATCACCATCATCAGAATCATCAGAATCATCATCATCAGCATCATCAGCATTATCATCATCGTCATCATCGTCATCGTCAGGATCACCACCATCATTATAATCACCGCAATCGTCGCCACAATCATCAGCATCACCATCCGCATCATCATCAACAGATTCATCGCCATCGCCATCGACGGCGTCGCCAGAACCTCTTCGCCATCATGCTGCTCCTCCTCGTCCTCGTCCCTCATCCGCCGCCCCTTTTTGTTGCGCTGGCTGCGGGGGCGCTGAGAACGCCTGGCGGTCAGGGCCCGCGGTGTTCCGCGGGACAGGCAAGGATGCAACGTGCTTGCAACAGGCGCCCGGCTTCCCACCAGAAAGCCTTCGACATCAGGCGGGCGAGGCCAGGACGAGAAACGGTGCGCAAGCCTGGAGCTCGGCCTCCTCCTCCTCCTCCTCCTCCTCCTCCTCCTCCTCCTCCTCCTCCCCCGTCCTCCTCTGGGCATCACGCCCCCGCCGATGCCGTGCCGCGCCGCGCGCCGGCCGCTCCTGGCCCCTTCCTGCACCGACCCACGGGGAGCCGCCGCAACAGCCAACGGCACGAGCGCGGAGGCCTCCGGAGGCCCTCGTGGACCCCACGGAATGGAGGCCCAGCGCCGATCCGAGACACCCGCGCCGCCCTCCGAAAAATAAAAAAAAATAAAAAAAAAACAAAACGAAAAGAAAAAAAAAAGAAACAAAAAAAAAAAAAAAAAAAAAAACAAAAAAATAATAAAAAAAAAATAAAAACTAAAAAAACAAAATAATAAAAAAAAAAAATAAAAATAAAACATAAAAAAAAAAGAAAAAAAAACAAAACAAAATGAAAAAAAAAAAAAAAAAAAAAAAAAAAAAAAAAGAAAAAATAAAAAAAAAAAAAGGTGCGAAAATAAAAAACAATTAAGAACCAAACCTTAGCGTGGTGAGCGATTTGATGGTTTCGTCGTGTCCGGCTACTCGGCGTCAAAAAAAAAAAAAATCAAAAAAACAAAAAAAAAAAAAAAAAAAAAAATAAAAAAGGGGGGGGGGGGGCTGGCTCCAGGCCTCCGCTTTGTGCGCGGCTGTTTGCAGGAGTGCGGCCTCTGGGGGACGGACTCCACCTGCCCGAAACAGGCGCCAAGACAACAGCCAAGATCTACTCCATAGGGGAGGGAGATGGGGGGGGGGCCTGCGCCTATCGGCAGAACAATGAAGAAGAGAACGATCCCGTGTGTGTCTCTTTGCCTCTCCCTCGACCTGGGACGCCCGGCATGCGTACGGCAAAAAACGGGCCCGATGCCCAGCAGCGAACGCGTGTCGAAACCGACAGCGGCCGCGGTAGGCCAGGCTCTCTGCTTTCTCGAAGGGATCACGCCCGCGGCGACGCCGACGGCGAGCCAGGTTCAGGATCGACAAGAAGAGCTGCGGTCGGTGTTCGCACCCGTCGGTGCCGTACATATGTCTGACTACCTACCAGACCACCCCGACCCAACCCGAAGACCCGGATTTCGGGCTGGGGGGTGCGTGTCCCATGTGTGATTTTTCAGCGTTCCCCGACCCCCACCCCACTGTGGGGCTGGGGTAGCTTGGTGGATTGCGAATGTCGACCCCCCCGCACGACACGCCGTCGGACGTCCCTGAGCAGAGGAAAAAGAACTATGCACATACACCGATCCTGGCCAGGCCCATCCAAAGCCCAGGATCGGTGCACACGGCCTCCTGCCTTGGCCGGGAAGGCCTATGCACCGATCCTGGGTCAAGGATGGGCCATGCCAGGATCGGTGCACGTGCACAGTTCTCTTCGCCCGACCGAGATCCCTGGCAGCTTTTTGCCCCCAGCGGGCATCCGAGCTGCACCGGCCGAGGGCCAGGGGCCCCCTCCGGGGGCGGCGGCCGGGAGGGGGCGGCCCGCGCACGAGGAGGGCGCGGAGAGCCTCGACCCGCACAGCCCGGGTGCCGCGGACACGGGCGACGAAGCACGATCGGGCAAGCCTTAGGAGGCAACCGCTGGGAGGTCTTCGCCGGAAGGATCAAGGAGAAGGAAGCCCCGTTGGGGGGCTACTGCGCAAGATTCGGCCACGGAGGAAGCGGGGCCAGGCCGGATTCGGCCAGAATGCGCGGGATGAAGCGGGATTCAAGCGGATCGAGGCAGATGGAGCCGGATTTCGGACCAGGGCAAACTCAGAATTTGACCTCCCAGGATCTGCATCCGAACAAACCTGTTCCCCGAGCCTGAACATTCGCGCCGCGATGGCGTACACGAGCACACGGACGACGACCTGTGCCACGTGTGGCCCCGGCGCGCCGTGCCGACGAGAGCGCGGAAGCCCAGCTGCCCAGAATCACGAACCGATTAGCCCTGCAACGCAAGGCCTCTCTGACTCGGGGACCAAGAATTGCCAGGAGAACGGCTTTACGCGCCAAACGATAACAAAAACGACGGCACTGCACGCTTTTCGCGGGTCAGCGCGTGCAAGGCTAGGACGCTGCACTGCGGAGTGGGGGAAAAAAGGAGGAGGAGGAGGAGGCGGCGGCGGAGGAAGAGGAGGAACGAGGAGCGGCCCCTAACAACTGCTAGGCGTAGCAAAATGCATGGGCACACTGCGTCAAAATCTTGGCCCACCCTGGGATATCCTGCACGCCCTCGTTCGGCTGGACGTAGGGGAAGGCGAAGAGAGGGAAAGGGGGCCAGCAACAGCAGCAAACAGGCAGAGAAGCAGGCAAATGGTTGAGGGCGGGGGCGGGGACGGTCGCAGGGAGAGGTCGTCGCGAGCGGTCGTAGGGAGCGGTCGTCGGGGCGGACGCGGGCGCGGCGGGCGCGAGAGCGTCGGGAGCAGCGCGGTTGCTGCTGACGGCGGCGGGGGACGCGGCAGGCGCGCGCGCGCGCGGGGGGGGGGCAGCGCGGCAGCTGCTGGCGGTGGGGGGGCCAGGACCGAGAGGCGGCGATGACCCTGGGAAGGGGGGGGGGCGGGGGGGGCCGCGTTGTCGCTTGGGCAACAGGGACCCTTCCAGGTAATGGTAGCCGCCGGACTGGAGCCCGCCCACCCCGCCCCCTGCCAGGAGGCCCCGCTCGCCGTTCAGGTGGGTGAGGGGGCGGCGCAAGGCGGCGCCAGCGGCGACTCAAACGGCGTCAGCCGCGGTGGCCGATGTAAGGCGCGCAACAGCCACCCCCATCGACGGCTGTAGCCGAGACAAACCCGCCCGCGCGCCCTCCCAAGAGACCGAAAGTCGCTGGGCGCGCCGGTCCGCCACTAGGGCGGCGTCCTCCCCGGTGGCGTCAGCCACCCAGTTGGCCAAGATCGCAAAAGCTCTCCTGGCCTCGCGCCCCTACCCGCCAACCTGGGCCTCCACCGCCATAAATATGAAGGTGAGGCCCCGAACCGCGCACTGGCCCTCCGCATCCGCGGCGGAGGACGCACCCGTAGCGACGAGGAGGTCGGCGCGAAGCGCGGAAGCGGCAGCGAAATCCCAAGCCGCTCGCACCCCGTTGCGCGGCCCGGGCAGACAAACGTCAGCGGGGCGCCTGTCCCTGGCATCAGAATCCTGCACGTCCTGCCCGCCGCTCGGAGACCTTTCGTTGGCGGCGCGCGGCGGGAAGAGCCCTAGCCATGCCAGGTCCGCTCCAACGAAGCAAGCCGCTTGCGCGTCGAATAACCCATGGTTCCAAAGCGCGCTGTGGCGCTTCGTCCTGTCCCTGCGGCAAGAGCACGCAATGGCGTGGTCTAGTCACACGTCCATCACCTCTTCGCAAGCAGGGCAAAAAGCCTCAAGGACGAGGAGCTGGACTCGGAGTCGTCGCTGGACCGTGACCCGGGAGAGGCAGTGCTGGAAGCGGCTTCATGCGGCGTCGCAAGGCGGCGCCTGGAAGAAGGCGCCAGCGGCGGGCGCCTTGAGCACGCAAAGGTACGCCAGCGTGGCGGCCGAGGAGTTGAGTTGGCCAGGAAGCTGGCGAGCGCCGCGTCGTCGACGGCGTCGCTGGGTCGTTGCTGGCTGGCGTGCTGCTCCAAGTCAAACGCCACCCTGGCCCCGTCGGCGCGCCTGCACAGCATTCCAGAGAGCCCCTCCACCGTGTATTGCCTCGTCGGTGTAGCCGGCCATGGCTGGCGACGAGGAAAACGTGGATGATGGCGACGATGGGGGCCCAGACCGCCGACGTCGTGCTTCTTCTGAGAAGTCACAACGCTGCTTCACACAACTCTGGGTTCTGTTGGCCCCTTTGGGGGGCCTGCGGTCCATCCCCATTAACGGCTGCGATGGAAAACTGGTGCTGGAGGAAGGGTGGGGAGCATGTTGGTGTCACGGAAATCAAATCACGACTTTGGAGGGGGAGGCGATGGCGAGGACGACGACAACCACGACAACGACGACGACGACGACGACGAAGACAACGAGGCACCGTTGACGACGACGACGACGACGGCGACGAGACCGACGTCGACGACAACGACGACGAGGCAGCCGCCGCCGACGACGACGACGACGACGACGACTACGACGACGACGACGACGACGACGACGACGACGAGGCCACCAACAGCGACAGCGAGAGCGGGGGCCTTCGGATGATCGAGGGTGAAACGTTCGAGGAGATTGCCTCGAACCGTTTTAGGATCCTTTTGGGTCCACGTGTCGGTGGGATGTAAAGGCGGGGGTGAAGCAGAGGTGGGGTCAGAAAAGACTAGCCTCAGACGGACCCTGGCAAAAGAAGCGTGCGCATCCGCCTAGCTTCGTGCCCTGACCCTACATTGGGAGAACCCCCCGTCCCTGCGAACCCCTGATGGGGAAACCAACAGGTACCGACGCCGCTACTCCCCGGACCTCTCCCACAGTGCGTTCTGACCAGGATTCCGAGGCGAATCCAGCGGTGGCGACAAAGGCCTCCCAGGAGGCCCAGGAAGGGGAAAACAAGCATAGGGTAGACCCTGAGAAGCGAAAAATCTCAACATCGTAAAAATTCACGCCCAGGGCCCTTGACCCCATCTTTCTGCGTCATTTGTCGAGCCAGATTGGTCTGCGAGGGTCTCGAGCCCGAAATTGTGCGAAAACGCACGGCTCGGTGGAATTGCAACGCCAGGATCTCAGGCGAGGCATGGGTACAGTCAACCCGCAGAGCAAGGATGCGCGATAAGGATGCAAGGGCCTTGGACGCCCATTTCGAAGCTTCCCGAGCGGGGCGCGGCCAACGAGAGTGTCCAAGGATGGACCCAGGAAGCAAGGATGCGAGGATACCCGCGGGAGGGATGCCTATCCTTGCTCTGCGTGTCGACTGTGCCTTTTCCTCCTCTGACGTGATCCTTCCCCTCCCCCCCCGCCCAGGCCTGTCTGCGGCGAGCCGCCCGCCGGCGTCCCAGTCGGCGAGCACGGGGGGCCCGGGAGCCTCGCCGGTCCTCGCCACGGCACGCTGGGGCCACGCGTCTGTCCTCCCTCCCGCTCCGCCATCAACCTCATCCTTCTCCTTTTCCTTCTCCTCCCCTTTTCCTTCTCCTCCCCTTTTCCTTCTCCTCCTCCTCCTCCTCCTCCTCCTCCTCCTCCAACCTCCTCCTTTTCCTCCTCCTCCTCCTTTTCCTCCCCCTCCAACCTCCTCCTTTCCTCCATCTCCTCCTCCTCCTCCTCCTCCACCTCCTTTTCCTCCTCCTCTCCACATCCTCCTCCTCCCTCCTCCTCCCCTCCTCCTTCCTCCTCTCGTGCCGTCGTCGACGTCGTCGTCAGCCGCGGAGGAGCGTCGCGGCGGCGGGGGTCCCACTGCCGACTGCTGCGGCGCCCGGCGCGAGCCTACGGGAGGGGGGTAGTGGCTGCGCCGCATGGCCGCCTCGTTGGGGGCTCGCGGGAGCGGCCACGTAGGGCACGGCCGCCCCCATGCCCCGCTGCGCTGCGGAGCCCGTCCAGGTAGGCCTGGTTCTGAGGAAGGAGGAGGAGGAGAGGAGGAAGAGGATGAGGAAGATGAGGAGAGGAGGAGGAGGAGGAGGAGGAGGGAGAAGTAAGAGGCGGAAAGAGGAGGAGGAGGAGGTGGAGGAGGAGGAGGAGGAGGTGGAGGAAGAGGAGGAGGAGGAGGATGCGCCGTGGATCTGCTGTGAGACCTGGGAATGGGCACCAACACCAACATAGGGCGCTGCCTCCACAGGGGTGAGGTGGTCCTAGACTTCGGTGTTGGTGGCAATGACCATCATCACCGAGATCGGGATCCTCTTCCCTCGGTGGAGGCACACCGCAGATACTGGTGTTGGTGTCAACCTCTGGACCTGCGATCTGCGGCGACGTCGACGACGAGCACGACGGCGAACACGACGGCAACGACAACGAACAAGCTGATGCTGGTGGCCTTGCCACAGGCATTGGGCCATGGGGCGGGCGGTGAAGAGAAGAGGAGGTTCGCAGGGCCTTCTCTGGAGCGTCGGAGAGCCTCGGCCTTTCTAAGAAGTGTCATGCTGTGTGTACGGGTGTATGCATGTATGCATGCATACGTTTATGTGTTCGTATGTCTGTATGTCTGATCGTATTTATGTATGGATGGATGGATGCACGCATGTATGTATGTGTGAATGGATGTGTGCATGTTTGTATGCATACATGTATGTGTACGTATGCATGTTTGTCGCATGCAACTGTGTGTATTTACATACGTTGTAAATGCATGAGTGTACGGTATGTATATACGTACGTAAGTACGTCGTTATGTGTAGTTGCACATATATATAGAGATGTGTGTATGTATCGGTGTGTATGTCAGTACATGTGTATGCATGTATGTATGTATGTGTGTATGTATGCACGTATGTATGTATGTATGTATGCATGCATACATGCATGTATGTATGTATGGGTTGGTATGTATGCGTGTATGTATGTATGTATGTATGCGTGTGCGTGTGTGTGTACGTACGTACGTACGAATGTATGTATGTATGTGTGTATGTAAGTATGTGTATGTATGTATGCATGCATGCATGTATGTAAGCATGCCAGTAAGTATGTATGTATGTATGTAAGTATGTATGTAAAGTTGTATGTATGAGTGTAAGGATGCAAAATATGTGTAAGTATGTATGGAAACATGTGTGTTAGTTTGTGTGCATGTGTGAATGTATGTAGTAGTATGAATGTATGTATGCATGTATGTATTGTAATCTAGTATGATGCAGTATGTATGTTAGGTATGTATGGTATGTATGTGAGTAATGTCTGATAATAAAATGTAAGTATGTAAGTATGTATGGATGTATGTATGTATGTATGTATGTATGTATGCATGTGTGCATGTGTGTATGTTTATGTATGTATATATGTATGTATGTGTGTATGCATGGATGGATGGATGTATGTATGTATGTATGTGTGCGTGTGTATATGTGTAGGTATGTACACATGTATGGATGAACGCGTGTATGCATGTATGTTTGGATGTATGTATGTGTGGATGTATGAATTGTATGTATGTGCAGATAGATAGGTAGAGAAATGGGTATATGGATGGATGTATGGCTGGATGTATATATGTACCCGTCGGTCGGAAGAAATAGGTAGAAACACGAAGTAGGACAGCGTTGAAATTAGATCGGGTGTCCGCTTGCCCCCTACAGAGGACGGAAAGGGTGACACCACCCGATCATTCAACTAGGAAGGCGGTTAAAGTAGATTGGAGTCTGGGACTCCGAAACTACCTACTTCCAACGACCGATGGGTATGTACAGATATACCTCTGTCTATATTTTTATAAGCCCGGGCGGGGGGAAAACCCGTCACCCTCCCCCCAAAAACCAGACTCCCTAGATCTGGGGCTTTGGGACCCTCCGGACGGACCTCGAAGCGGCCACCGGGCCTCGCAGGGCGTTATGCCAAGCCTTCCCAGCACACCTAGGGCGATCAGGGGGGTCATCGGAGACGTCCCAGAGACCACCAAGACAGCACAAGAGCGCTCCAAGAGTGACCGACGTGACCTCAAGATGGCCCAAGAGGCCTCCAGGACGGCCCCAAAGAGGCCTCCAAGAGCACTCCCAAGAAGGCCCCCCGAGGCAAAAATCATTAATTTTATCAGTTTTTGGTGAATATTGGGGTTCTCCTCTTTTCGGCTTCCCGACGCTCCAAGACGGCGGTCTTCTGGGCGTCCGAAGCCGCCTGGCGGGCTCCAAAATCGCCCCACAATCATCCGAAAGGGCTTCCAGGCAGTCCAAGAGAGCCCCAAAACGGCACAACACGGGTCCAAGATGGCCCTCAGAGAGCCCCATGGCGGCCCAAGATGGCCCAAAGACACCCTCCGAAGAATTCCAAATCGTGATTCGGTCGTTCAGGGAGACCGCGGTTGGAGGCAGGGTGGCCCGAGGAAGCCCCCAGAGGGCCCCTGAATACGCCCAGGAGGCCTCCAGAAGGCCTTAAGAAAGCCTGAAACAACTTTTGTGAGGCCCCTAAAGGCTCTCCGAGGAGGAGCCTCCGCAAAAAAGAGCTGAGGAGGATGGGGAGAATGCGCAGGGCATGGCGAAAATAAAAAACATGGAGGAAAGATAACGAATAATATGATTATAGCGGCGATGCCGGAAAAGGCAACCAGGAGTTATCGCTAAATTGTCGGCTTGACCTTCCTGCTAGTCCGCCTGCATACAAAACTTCAAGGACCAAGGTGCATGGCGCGAAACGCCACTGCAACATTGTATAGATAGATGTGTATATAATTGAGAGAGCGTGATCCACCGCCGCTTTACTGTGGAAAATTAAATTGCCAACCTTTTCCTCCAGAACCCGGGGGTCGCCCCCCCCCCCTCCGAAAATCCCCCCCCACCCCCTGCTGGAACCCCTGGCCCCCCCCCCCTCCCCTCCGCAAAAACCCCCCCCCGTCCCTAAACCCCTCCCCCCCCCCCCCCCTTCCCCTCGAAACCGGGGGGGGTCACTACCGTTCGACCCCCCCCCCCCCCCCCCCTTCGGATCCGGAAAAACGGAGGGGGGTCCTACGGTTCGCAAAAAACCCCCCCCCCCTCGAAAACCGGAGGGGGATACTGTCCCCACTGTCCCCACCACTGTTCCCACCACGGTTCCACTCTCCCCACTGTCTCCACGGCCCCAACCACTGCCCGACTATCCCCACTGTCCCCATGTATCCCCCACTGTCCCCCACTGTCTCCTGTCCCCACTGTCTCACCGACTCCGCCGCTGTCCCACTGAGCTGTTCCACTGTTCCCACCACTGTCCCCACTGTCCCCACCACTGTCCCCACTGTACCTTTGTCCCATTGTCCCACCGCCGTCCTCGCCACCGCCTTCACCACTGTCCCCACCACCATTGTACCCTCCACTGTCCCACTGTTTCCACCTCATTCCCACTGTGCCCACACCACTGTCCCCACCACCACCGTCCCCACCACTGTCCACTGTCCCCCTGTTCCCATCATTGTCCTCACCACTGTCCCCACCACTACCGGCCCTCTACTGTCCCACTGTCCCACTGTCCCCACCACTGTCCCGCTGTCCCCTCACCACTGTCCCACCAACACCGTCCCCACCTCTGTCCGCACCCCCACTGGGTTTTCGAGAGGGGGGGGGGCGGGGAGGGGTTCGAACCGGTAGTGACCCCCCCCCCCTTTTCATGATGACTTGGGGGAGGGGAGGGGTTCGAACCGGTACAAACCCCCCATAAAAACATAAAAAAATAAAATGTGACCCCCAGCGGTTTTCCGCGGGGGGGGGGAGGGGTTCGAACCGGGAGTGACCCCCCCTGGTTTTCCGCCAGCAGCGGTAGAACACGCTCTTTCATATAATCATATATATATATATATATGTGTGTATGCATGCATGCAGGTATGTATTTATGTATGTATGCATGTATGTACGCATGTGTGTGAATGTGTATGTGTATGCATGTATGTATGTGTATGTGTATATGTGTATGTGTTTGAAAGAAAAAAAAATGAAAAAAAAAAAAAAAAAAGAAAAAAAAAGAAAAAAAAAAATAAATGAAAAAAAAAAAAAAAACAAAAAAGAAAAAAAAAAAAGAAAAAAAAAAAAAAAAAAAAAAAAAAAAAAAAATAAAAAAAATAAAAAACAAAAAAAAAAAAAAAATAAAGACAAAAAAAGAAGTAATGTGTAAGTGTACGTGTACGTGTACGTGTACGTGTACGTGTACGTGTACGTGTACGTGTACGTGTACGTGTACGTGTACGTGTACGTGTACGTGTACGTGTACGTGTACGTGTATGTGTATGTGTATGTCTATGTCTATGTCTATGTCTGTCTGCCTGTCTGTTCGTCTGTCTGTCTGCCTGTCTGTTTGTCTGTCTTTCTGTCTGAATGTATGTATGTGTGTATGTACGTATGTGTGTATGAGCGAGCGTTTTTCACGGGCGCTTGCCTTGGGAACATTCGGGGGCGCGTTTCGAACTGGGGGGGGCCATCCCCGCTCAACATTCGGCGCCGTCGATCAGAACCACGAGGACTCCCCTCCCCCCTACCCCCCCCCCCCTCCCCGAACCCCCTCCCCAGGGGGGCGGGGTTCGAACGCCCCCCCCCGGCGCCGGCGCTGGCGCGGGCGCTGGCGGCGGCCGGCAGCGCCGACGGAAAGGATGCAGGGACGATGACCAGAGAAGGCCAAGAGGTCGCAGATCGGAAACACAAATCGCCATGTCGAGCCCTCGCCCCCCAAAAGCCACCGGGAGGCCCTCAGAAAGGTGCAAGAGACGCCCAAGAGGCGCCCAGGAGGCTTCACAGATGCTCCTCAGACGCCCCCGAGACCCCTCTGACGAGACCCCAAGAGGCATCCATTAGAACTCTGACCCAAAGCCAAGGCACGGTGGCGGGAAGACCCGAAGGCCACAGCACCACCACGACCACCTCCACGAACCACCACACCACCACCACCACGACCGCCACCACCACCACCACAACCCACAACAGCTAAACACAACCGCCACCACCATCACCACAGACCAAAACCACAGCCCACCACTACCACCACAACCACAAACCACCAACCCACCACCACCACCACCACCACTGCCCACCACCACCACTACCACCAGCACCACCACCAGCATCACCACCACCACCATCACAGCCCACCACCACCACTTCAAACACCACCGCCACAACCACTACCTCCACCACCACCACCACAACCCACCAATACCGCAACCACAAACCACCAAACAACCACCACCACCACCATCACAGCCACCACCACGACCACCACAACAAACCACAACACCACCACCACCACCACCACAGCCACCACCACAACCACCACCACGATCCAACACACCACCACCACCATTACCACAAACCACCACCAACACCACCACCACAACCCACCACCACCACCACAACCACCACACCACCACTACCACCACCACCACAAACCACCACACAACCACCGCCACCACCACCACCACAAACCACCACCACAACCACCACAACACTACCACCACCACAACCACAAATCACCACGACAAACCACCACACCGCCACCACCACCACAACCACCACCACCGCCATCGTCACCACCACCACTACCACCACCACCACCACTACCACCACCACCAACACCGAAACAACCACCACGACAAGCCACCAGGCAACAACTGTCAACACCACCACCACCACCACAACCCACCACCACGACAAGTACCACCACCACCACAAACAACCACACCACCTCCACAACCACCACAAACCACCACGCCACCACAACCACCACCACCAGCACCACCAACACCACCACCAACCACCACACCACCACAGGAGGGGGGGGGGGTCGAACCCCTTTTCCTCTGGGGACGAGAAGAGCAAGCGCCCACAGAACGCGCTCTTTCGTATGTCTGTCTGTATGTATGCATGGATGATGTCTTACGTGTGTGCATACGTGTAAAGGAAAACATGCCCGCCCATGCGGGCGGGCGATGTCCACGCGCACCACTCCTCGAGATCCCAAGATAAACATAACAGTACATAGGAAAATGAAAACACCAACAAAACATCACACCAAAAAAAACAAGAAGACAAAAAAGACCATCAACCACAGCAACCCAAAAAACAGCCAAAAAAAAAAAAACAATACCAGAACAAAGAAAAACACAGAGAACAACCCAAAACACAAGATAAACAAATACAGGGCACGACTCCGGAGCCGTGGAAATGCACGCACATCCCGGAGGTGGAGGCAGCACGCCGGGCGGAGGCGGGCGCGCGCGCGCGCCCTTGTCGTCCCCGTCGCCGCCCTGCAGCGACGCGGACGAGTAGTCCGGGGGCAGGCTGCTCTCGTCGAGCCCGCTGCTGTGCCCGCCCCTGTCCTGCGGGGGGGGGGTCTTGGAGAGGGGGAGATCCCCTTTGACCACCGACCAACCCGTTACCCCCTCGCGCCGTGAGAAAAGGAGAGAGAACACGGCGGGCCGCTCCTGTAGAGGCCTCCTGGAAGGGTTCCGAGTAGGTGGGGTCGGACGATCACGCCGCATCAGCGATGCATCGGCGATGCATCCGCGATGCACAGGCGATGCATCGTCGACGTCGGCGACGCCTCGGCGACGCCGGCGTGAAGCAAATCGGGCCCCGCATCGAGCCGCATCGGCGATGCATCGGCGATGCATCGGCGATGCATCGGCGATGCGGCGCGATCCTCCGGCCCCATCTGCTCCGACCCGGTCTAGGAGGCTTAAGATCCTGGCCGCTGTGGGCCGCTGGGAGCCCCCGGCGGGCCCCGCGACCGCCAAAAAGACTGCTCGGGATGAAGATTCTGGTCCCGGGGAGGGTCCGCGGGGGAAGCCCGCGACGGCCCCTTGGGGCCGACCACCGCGAAAAGCCACCCGTCGTGATTTGTTGCCCACGACGTGAAGAGGCGGGGTACGCAGTCCTCGCCCTGCGCAGGCAACGCATTGGAGCCTCCCATGACATCGTGTCGGCTCTTGCGAATCGACACTGGTCGACGCTAAATCGGCACTAATCGACGCTCATCAACGCGAAATCGACGTTCGTCGACGCTCACCGACGCTGTATCGGCGCTACCGCATCGACTCCCAGACGCAAATCGACGCTAGTCGACGCTAAAGACAAAAATTACGAGGGTACGCAAGGCTCCCATGATTTGCTTCCGAACCTCACCCTCCTCTGGAACACCTCTTCGGCGCCGCATGGCTTTCGAGCCATGACTTGGGCCTCCGACACCGTTCGGGACTTTTCGGGCACCCTGGGGAAAGCTCTCGACAAGGCGCAGCTGCTGAGAGGTGTCCCGAGATGAGAGAGCGGCCGAGAACCAGCGGAAACTTCCCTCCTCCCCTTCCGACGGCGATACGCCCGCCCCGACCCCACCCTCAGTCCTCATCACTCCGTTGGGACTCGGAGCCGAGGCGAGTTGAGACAACTCGGGGGTGCGCAAACATGGAGTAACGATCCATGGATTTGGCGCGCGGTCGCCAAATCCATGGATCGGGGACGGGGCCCTCCCCAAAATGCGGCCAGTGTCGCCTCGTTGGACGGCGGAGATCCGCGATTTCCCATGGAAGCGGGACCCGTCGCGAATCCATGCCCAATTGATCCATGTTTGCAATCGCCTGACCGACGGCGATACACCCACCCCGATCCCCCTTCAGTCGTCACCACTCCCCTGGACTCGGAGCAGGGAGGAGAGGGGACAACGAAGGAACGAAGCAGCCATACGCCAAACGCGCGTGGGCAAGACAATGTGGCGAGCGTGCTCACGACGCCAAAATGCGTCATCTGGCGGAAAGCAAACGCGCCAGACGCGTGACAATGGACGCCTCCGAGAAATCCTCGAAGAACCAACGAAGACAACCCCTTCTTCTTTGGCGAGGAACACAGCCATATCCGCGGCCTCGCAAGCCGGGCCCACGGGCCGCGACACAGCGGATACGGAACGTTCTTTCTCAAATGCCCCGCGTGGATTGTACCTCCGTGCGACCGCGTATCTGCGGGATCGCGCCCCAAAGTCCAGACCGCGAGAGCATGGATCTGGATACGTTTGCCGCTCGTGGCTCCTTTGACTTCGATAGAAGTGGAGGGCAACTCGAGGCCTTCGGGTTGGGTTGGGGTGGTGGTGCGTGGTGAGCCTTCTGGGAAGGCCTCCTCCTGCTCGCCTCCCCCCCCCGCTCGCCGCCGAACCGCACCGCTCCGCGGGAGACGCACACGGCACGCCCGATCGCGCCATGGGTCGATCGATCGCCTCCGCCGCACTTGGCGCTCGGTGGAGAGGAATGAGGAGGAGGAGGAGGAGGAGGAGGAGAAGAAGAAGGAGGAGATGGAGAGGAGGAGGATTTTACCCTGCTGGCTGGTGTAGGTGAATTTGACATACTCATATTCTCGGTCCTGGCGAAGTTCAGAGGGTGTGTTTCGTTGTGACATCTCGGCTGTCCCTGGAAAGCGGCCCATGGGCGCGAGGCCACGCGCGACAGCAGCGGAGGAGGAGGAGGAGGAGGAGGACGAGGAGGACGAGGAGGAGGAGGAGGAGGAGGAGGAGGAGGAGGAGGAGGGGGAGGAGGAGGACGAGGAGGAGGACGAGGAGGAGGACGAGGAGGAGGAGGACGAGGAGGAGGAGGAGGAGGAGAGAAAGGAGAAGAAGGGGGCGGGGGGGGAGGAGGAGGAGGAGGAGGAGGAAAAGCGAAGGGCGCGCCCAACGCCGGCCGCGGGCGCGCGGGTGACCGGAGGGGCCGCCATGGCAGCGCGCGCGACGCTCCTTAGACGGGAGGTCACCCTACAATGGGAATTTTGCCACTGCATTAAGTCGGGTCGGGGAATTTTCCTACAATGGGAACATTAAACATTAAAATCGTCGGGCGAAAGGGGGGAAAGGGGGGGATAACAAAGGGGGGGGTTGAGAATCAGCTCACGTAGCTGATTTTCCCGGCGCCTGCCGGCGTCGGAGGCGACTGTGTATCGAGGAATGGGGCCCTCGGTGGGGCCGAAACCAGCTGCATGCAGCAAATTTCGTAACCCCTCCTTTCCCAATCCCCCCCTTTCGTCCGGCCCGATAAAAATGGTCAAAAAATACCCTAAAATATTCAAAAATGATCAAAAAATCCTCCCCTGACTATTTTTTGACTATTTCTGAATACTCCTCCTGTAGAGGGACAGGCCCGACTTAACACTGCTCGCAGAAGTGGCCCGGATCAGCCGCGGGAGGCTTACGAGGCGTGACATCGAGGCAGACATGTGTTTTTTTCCTGAGGTCTGCGGGGAGGCACTCTGCGAGCAGTGGAACGCGCTCAGTGGCACGCGGAAGCGTCGAAGTCGACCTCGGCCACCGCCTGAGGAGGCAACTGCGGGGGGGTCTTCGTCGTAAGAGTGACATAGAGAGAATTGAGCCCCATTAGGGGGGGCTGCTACGCTGGATCAGGCCTCGGATTGAACGGGATCAAGGCAGATCAAGCCAGATCAAGCGGATCAAGCCGGATCAAGCCGGATTAAGTGGGATTGAGCGGGATTAAGCCTGATCAAGCGGGATCAAGCCGGATCAAACGGGATCAAGCTGGATAAAGCCGGATTTTGGACCAGGGCAAAATCAAATTTTGACCTAAGAATTGCATCCGAAACCGTCCATCTCGGTCACCGTCAATTCTCTCATCATCCTCGCTAGTCGGCCACGGCCGGCATAGACCATGACCAAGATCGGGGTCGCCAAGGTCCCGTGATCTCGTGGCCATGGTCGTCGTGCTTCCTCCCTCGATCGACTTTGGCTCCCAGGCGACTCGGAGCCGCGATCACAAACATCGACCCCAGCAGACCAACTATGTCTCGACTATGTTTGAATACTCCTCCTGTGGAGGGGCATGCCCAACCTAAGCCTTGTGGATGCCATGCCAATAGACACCCTAACACTCCTATCGCTGCATTTAAAATGTGTCTAACATGTCGGAAAAAATTCTACCAGTGCTTGAAGCATGTTTTTGCTACATTCCAAGACATGTTTAAAACATGTCTTAGACATCTGGAAATCATTTGACTACCTACCAGGCCATCCCAACCCAACCCGAAGAACCGAATTTCGGGTTGGGGGAGGCACGGGCTTCGTGTGTGTTTTTCAATGTTCCCCCCGGCCCCCCCCAAACTGGAAATGGACGGCAAACCGAGGCCCTCGGGCAGGGTTGGGGTGGTTCGGCGGGCGGTGATCATCTGGCAGCATGCTTCCTCTCCATTGGCCCTCGTCCACAACTGGCCTTCTCTCCATTTGGCAACATGCCTCCTCTCTCCGTTTGGCAACATGCCTCCTCCCCAGCCTCCGAGCCTGGCCGCGAGCGGTGCCGCCGGCGCCGGCCGTCCTCCCAGGGCAGCACGTAGGGGTTGCCGCCGCCGGCGAAGCGGCCGCCGCCGTGGTGCTGGGCGCCGGGCGCGATGGCCGGCGGACGGCAGGAGGCGAGGGACGTCGGCGGCGGCGACGACGACACGGACGGCGAAAGCGACGACGACGACGCCGACGGCGGCGACGGCGACGACGGCGACGACGACGGCGACGACAACGACGACGGCGGCAGCGACGACGACGGCGACGGAGGCGAAGGACGTCGACGACGGCGACGACGACGGCGACGGCGGCGACGACGGCGACGGCGGCGACGACGACGACGGCGAGGGACGACGACGGCGACGACGACGGCGACGCGCCAGGAGGCGTTTCGGGCGGCGGCGGGGGGCGGAGGGGTCTCAGGCACGATGCCATTAATAGCCGCCCTCCGCGGTGGCTTGCGCGGGCCGCCAGCGCGGCACACCGCGTGGAGAAGAGAACGCGTACGCGCGGCCTCACGCAGGAAGCTTGCGCGCGAATAGGCGGCGCCACACGAGCGGCGCACAAGCGTAGAGGCGCGAAGCCGGCGAGAAAAGGGGAACCAAAAAGGGCGTCAACGTACAAAATTCTGGCAGTACGTCAGACATATACAGCACGAGCGTCGAAGATCGACCTCTTCGGGAGCATGCCGGAAAGGACAGCCTCGGATGTCTCGGATGACAGCTGGCGCCCCTGGCGGCGCCTCCGCCGCCTCGAGAAGGCCGCGCGGACCTCATGAAGTTCGACTCTCTCATTCCCCGAGGACCTACAGCAAGAAGCTCCGGGACGCCGGAGGACCCTCAAAGTTCGACGGAGATTGCGCCGCGAGGACTACTGCCCGCCACCGCGCTTGCAGCGGCGTCGGGCGTGCGCCGGGCCCCCTCGCTCCCTGCGAGGCAGTATTCGGGGCCCCCGGCGCATCAAGCCCTTCAAGGTGCGCTCGTTGGTGTGACCAGGTCCCGGGCAGAAGACGTGGCCAACTACGAGGTTCAAGAGGCCCAAGGACACACAAATAAATACACACGAATAAAAAGATTCCCCATATTTTCCCATATTTTCTGGGTTTTTGTCTTCCCCACCACTGCCCATATTTTTCCATATTTTCTGGGGAGTCGACGATTAATTGTGTCTGTGTGTTTCTTCCCCTCCTGAGCGGTTTGGGACTCCCGAAATAGGCACGGGAAGAACGGGCACAATGCCCAACAACAAATGTTGTCCCAAACCAACAGCGGCCGCTGTTGGGCAGGCGGCCTTCTGTCTCAAATGGACACAGGCCGCGGCGGCGCGGACAGCGAGTCCTTTTCAGAATGAACAGGAACTGTTGTTGGGCATTGTACCCATTCTTTCCGTGCCCATCTCGTTCGTGCAGAGAGGTTGGGAGAGGGACGCTCAGTGGACCCTCCCCCCCTGGCACCCGCCCCCCCCACCCCCCCCCCCTGGGCGCCCGCCCGAGCGCGGTGGCGGAATCGCGCGGCAGCGCCACTGGACAGCAAGGCTCCCCAATCAGAGCTTGCCTCTGTAGGGGTCCGGGCGGACTCATATGGTTAGGTTAGCTGCGTCGCCGAACTTGGCGGCCCGCCTGGGTGCCCGGGTGCCCCATAGCCCTATAGCCCAACAGCTCTAGCCCTTTTGCCCTATAGCCCTACAGCTTGTAGCTATATAGCCCTATAGCCCTATAGCCCAACAGCCCAATAACCCTACAGCCTTCTAGCCCTAAGCCCTATAGCCCTATGGCCCTCTAGCCCTCTAGCCCTCTAGCCCAGCAGCCCTATAGCCCTATATACAATAGCCCAATAGCCCTTTAGCTCTATAGCCCAATAGCCCAAGCCCTATAGCCCAACAGCCCAATAGCACTATAGCCCTCTAGCCCTCTAGCCCTGTAGCCCCATAGCCCCATAGCCCTATAGCCCTTTAGCCCCATAGCCCCAAAAAAGATTATGATTGGGGTTTCTCTCTGGTGTCATGTGTTCTATCGTGTGTCTGCTGGGGAAACTGAAAGATACCGATACCGTTGCTCCCCGGAGCTCACCCGGGGTGCGCTGTGACCAGAATTTCGGGGCGAACCCCAACGGTGGCGACGAGGGCCGCCCAAAGGAGGCCCAAGAAGGCGAAAATGGGGGATACGGGTAGCGGCGTATGGCTACCTTTTCCTCCTCTGATCTGCTGCAGCGACGGGGACGAGGATGATAGGGGATGGGAGGGGTGACGGAGCAGGGACCGGAGAGCAAAACAGCATCAGTGCCACGCCGCACTGGCGACCCCGTCAGCGCGCGCTGCTGCCGAGGGGTAGCGCGTGGCCATCGCACCAGCAGGCGAGCGAGCAGGACGCACAGCCCGAAAGACGACGCGCGCGCCCCGGCTGCTCTGCATCTCCCCCCGAGGGAGCATGAGCACCGCTTGACCGATCCTTCTCCCCAGGGGCACGGCCTCGGTCCCACTGGCCGATTGGCCCCCCCTGGCCCCCCTAGATGGGGGTGCACTCTGCTCCCTGCGGGCTTCAGGAGGCGGGGATGGGGACAGGGGTGGCCGGGACGGGTGCGGTGGGGATGGGGCAGGGACCAGGATGGGGATGGGGGCGGGGACTGGGATGCTGGGGATGGGGATGGGGGGGGGACTAGCACGCGGATGGGGATGAGGATGGTGGGGACAAGGAGGCTTACACGATGAAAAAACGGCACAAACAGATATAAACTTCTGGCGCTCCGCTAGAATTTCTTGGATCTGCGCTGGGCCCCCCTCCCTGGCGCGCAGGGGCGGCGCCGGAGGCGCCGCCGGGGGGCCCCAGCGCGGATCCCAGAAACCCGCGCGGAGCGCCAAAAACTTCTGTCTGTGCCGGTTTCCCTTCCCTCCAGTGGTGGGGCCGAGGATGGGGATCGGGCTGGGGATCGGGATCGGCGACACGATGCTGGGAGCAAGGCCTGGCCTGCGCTCCGCCCCGCGCGGGGCCCAGCCGCCACGCGGGGCGGAGCGCAGGCCCGCGGGGCCCCGCGGCACGCCGCGGGCTCTGCGGCGCGCACGCGTCGCGAGGCTTGCCGTGCACCTCCCCACGGAGAGGCCACGAGGTCGACGCCGTTGGGGCGAGGCCCAGGACTCCAACGTCTCGAAGGGGGGGAAGGGCCGCCATCTGCAGCTCTCGGGCCCCAGGGCGACCAGGAGAGCGTCATCCATAGGGACTGGTCGACCGGTCCACGGGGAAGGGTCGGGAGAACGTAGCCCACGGGGGGGGAAACACAGAAGCCGAAGGTCTGACTCAACAGGGCTTGGATAGAGAGAGGAGAGAGCGAAAGGTACAATCTTTTGGACGGCTTCTGTCTCAGGGAAAGAGGGGGAGAGGATGAAGAGGAACGGATGGGGGAGGATGCGGAACCACAACGAATCTTTCAAACACCTACACAGGCAGGGGCCGAAAACCTGGGACGGAACATCACTCGAAGGGTAGGGGCGATGGCGACGACACCGACGCCG